TACTGCAACCTGAATTTGTGTTTTGTTAAGCGACAAAAATCTTAAAAACTTGTTAAAGCCAATTCTTTTAAACTGAAGTTTTAATCACTTCACTGATATTTTAAATCATTGAGTAAGACCTGCAGAGAAGTCTGTTTGATAAGAAAGTCAGCCAAGAAATTTTTGATAAGTATTCGCAAAACAAATACTTCCAAAGCAATGGTACTGGTACAGAATAGCTGAACAATGATTTTTTTCTCTCTTCTCATTTACTTCAATTTTATAATATGCTAAATTTTTCTTTTTCAATGCTAAATGAATTACAAAAAATCATGTTAGTAAAGTTTTATGATTATATGATCATAAAACATTGCATGTAAACGGACTCTAAAGATTTCTGTGTCTTATTCCTAATGTGAGTCCTTTGTTCAGAGGTTCAAAGTCAAGGTCCAAGGTCTTGCTGGATGGAGTCTTTTCAGAGTCTGGAAGCCTGGTTTCCTTGTTCAGCCGCTGTGCAGTGGTCCCCAGTACACTGCCACTACCAAGTCTCTGAATTTAGCTGATATAAATTAAGCATTCTGGAAATGACAATGCTTGACAACCAAATGCATACAATAGTAAACAATTAACAATCAAAATAAGGAAACAGCTGTCAGTTTCTCTTTATATAAAATTATTTCTAATTTACAATAAATGCCAATTAAAATTATCAACCAATATGCATAAATCTTCTTTGCCTTATTGTCAAATAGCCATGTAGATTATAAATTTTCCTAAATTTTTCAAAGAGATTCCTATAGAGTTTTCTTTTCTCTCTCCTACCTTTTTTTTTGGTCTCAATTATGAAATAGTATATCCTTGAGCACACTGGTACTTTGTCCTCAACAGAAAGCAACTACGTTATCAAAGAGAAAACAAAGGGTACTAGAAGAAAAGTGAATAGTCCAACACAAGGCATTGCTGTGCTAATGGTTATTTCTATAAGTCTCATGATTACAAAAACTCAGCTGAACTTGATCCTACAAGCATCAACAACCGCTAAGATTAGCATGTTAAAGGCTTCAATGTACGGAGACATGACCAATGTAGTTTTAAAAGCAGTGCTGTATCATTTTAGTTGCTGAGAGGAAAGGTTTAAAGAGTGGATGAATAAGTGTCAACTGAAACCTACAAATGCCACTGTTACTAATGTTCTGTAACGACTTGGTGTGTATTTTCCTTATACCAAGAGTACAACCCCATCCTCTTTCTTCTTTATTACCACTTGCCTTCATCTTTGAAATGACTTCAACTTCAGTGATAAGAGGTTCATTATTTTAAGAAAGGATTTGTGATGGTCTAAGGGACCAACCCACATTGCATTTACTGCTATTTATCAGCTCTTTAGATCTTCCACTAAGTACATTAGAGAAGTTAGTAAAGCTTTACTTTATTGGTCAATAGTGCTCAGCCATTTAATCAAATAATTAATTTGCTATTCACTGTTTACAGTAGTAGAATACATTATTTTTTGTGAATTACAGATCAACAGTATATCTTTGTGAATTTAAAATTACATTATTTCTTTGTAGTGTTCTTTCTTTTTACATCAACAGTATTAAAAATTTATGTCTAGAAAATCAACTTTTCCTTTATTCAGCTAACAAAAATTTACTGAGTATCTGCTGTGTCCTCTCTTACATCTTGATCTGGGAATACAACTGAATAAGACACAGTTTGGCCCCAGAGGGCTGAGAGTTCAGGAGAGAGATGTGAGCCTAGGCATTGCAATTGCAATGGATTGAGATAAACAATATAGACAACAAGCTGCCATAAGAGAACTAAGGAGAGGTGCATAATTCCTTCTAGAAGAGTCAGAATGTCAGAACTGAGTGGTTGAACTGAATTCTGAGGGATGACAAGGAGTGTTCAGTAGCATGAAGCAGGAGATCGCTAGGAACTCATGAACAAAGGCAAGCAGCCCTGACCCTCCCTGTTTGGAAAGTGGCGGCACAAAGCAGTTGAGAGCTCAGACTCTGGAGACAGATTGCCTGGGTTACACCTCGTGCAGTTACTTAAACTTTCTGTGCCTCAGTGCCCCCAGCTATAGAAAGGGCAAACTATCAATATCTACTTTAAAGGACTGCTATGCAAATAAATGAATTAGTTGTTGTAAATCACAAAGTCAGAGCCATTTAAAATGTTTGCTTTTGTTAGAGTTGGAATGCAGGGTCCTTGACGGCACTGGCGGAAGGTAAGAAGGTTGAAGACCAGAGAGTAGGGATGGGCCAGAGATGAGGCTCATGGTTAATTCTGAAAGAGTTGGGAAGCCATTGTTGGATTTTAAACATGTGAATGATGACCTACGAGTAGTGTAAGGCTTTGAGAAAGACTAATGAGTCATGGGGAGACTGGAGTGGGACACCAGAGTGTGAAGCTGGGAGAAGAATTAGGGCTCTGGAAATAATCCCAGGGTGTTGCTATGAGCCTGAACCAGGGCAGTGGGAGAGGAATGGAGAGAAAGGGGTAGGTTTAGGAAATACCTTGGAGGCAGAGTTGGTAAGACTTAATGATTCAATTCACTGGATGATGGGATGAGGGAGAGGGAGAGGGCAGGGAATGGATGGGAGAGATGTTACACTTTATCAAGCTGAGTAAAAGAGAGGTTGCTTACCTCTTTGGCCTCCTGGTATTTCTAAGAACATAATAAATGTCAAACTGACATCCTTCCCTCATGAGACTATACCCATTTTACAAGTTGTGATGATTAGATTTTGAGGAAAATTACAGACTGAAAAGTATTTAATTTAATTGCAGACTCTTGCTACTTGACCTCAGGGTTTCTAACTTTCTCTCAGACCTTGAATTTCAGTGACAATATTCAAAATTTGGAAGATATCTTTTGGCTATTTTGCTTTAGTTTTCTTTCCTGAAAATGGAGAGACATTCTGGCTGGCCTTGTTTCCCCTGGTGTTATGTGACTCTCTGACATCAGCACCGATATATTCAGCTTCGACATATGATACTGGCTGGCATGAGGAGGGGGAGGACGGCTGGGCCTGTGAGCAGGACACAACAGCTCAGCTCAAGACTCAGTGGCATCTGCAACAGGTGTTCTGAGGAACCAGAGTTAGAAAGGACTTCTTCCTCTATTTTTAAAAAGTGGGGAAGCAACTCTTTCACAACTGTATAGAAACTGTGAAAATTATACACTCTCCTGGATATAAGATGTAATCATCAAGAGATAATGTTTATTATCATCAGGATGGAGCCACTGAGTGTCTTTCTTTTCATTTGTTTCTACTTTTGAAGTACAAGATTCTCGTGCCTATGGCAGAGGTCTTGAAGTAGGGGGATGAATTTGCTAAGCTCAGAAGATTTTTTTTTAGTTCGATGACGCTGTAGCCTATGTGCGGCTAACTTTTATGCTTACAAGATTGTTTTTGTCCCTGGAGGGCCATTTAACCTTAGCAGACTGTCAGGGAATTGACAATGACATCATAATTGAACACCACCACTTATTTTCAGTATAGAATTCTAAAGCATTCCAGCTATTTAGCAGTAACAAAAAGCCACTTTGATCAAAGAGGAATAACCCTTCCCCACTCTCAACTCCATGTGTTTTTTCCTTTTACTACTTCTAATAACTTTCACCACCACTACTGGAAGTTCCCATGAGAGCAAACAAACTGATACATCGAGATACTGGATAAAGTATCGTAACATCTAAACCATTTTTCTTATTTATCTTTTTTCTTGGTCTTTGTGACAACCCAACTGTCAGTCCCCAACATCCTCTCTAAAACATAGTGTTTGGCAGAGACTTGAATCCAAGACCTACTGGTCTAGCTTTGATCTGGTTCTGTAATTTTCAGGCTACAAAGCACAAAGTATTTTTTGAGGGAAAAAAACCAAACACTTTGTTTCAATGTCCAGCAAAAGAGCATACTCAGTTTACTCATTAATTTGACTCTAATTTTCAAAAGCTATATAAAATAAGCTAGTGCCATTGATTCTGTTTGTTAATTCACCGTGATGTTCTAATACTTCTTCACTGAATTAGTGAGAGCCAACATCAGAAGCAAGAAACATTACCCCCAAATGGATATATTTATAAAAATGTTTTTATACGCCAATTTTTTATCTTCTTTCTTATAATTAGCAGGCCATTATATTTGAACCTGGCAAAATATTTTAATTAGGCTGTCCATAGATATTTCAATAAACTTGAATTTTTTTTTGACATTTCAAACATAACCTTGTGTTAGTCATGCCTGCCTGCTACTATTTTAAATGTATAGCATGTTCCAGCTGCAGGAATTACCATGGTTACTTGTTATGCCAATAGTGAACTGCAGTTAGCAATAAAAAGTACTGTGCTGTCTTACCTCTGCACTGAAAATGACATAAATATCTCAATAATCACAATAATATGAATTCATATGGAACCCTGGAGAAGTGTGGCTATGACATACTGGAATGGAAGAAGTTCTTAAGAGCTGGAATATATGTAAGGGGCTATTTGGCAGGTACACTGGATTCACATTCTCTAAGAGCTCATCCTAATGCCAAATGTGGTTTTATTCATTAACAATATTGTTGAATGGTTATATCCTCACTCCTTCCTTTTCTGTATGTATTCTTCTTTAGAAATGTACAGGAGGTCAGTCTTTCTTCGTGTAGAATGTCATTCACATTCAATGTGAAATGATTAACACAGAACGTGACTGGCAAGGCTTACTAAAGGTACTTTTGTCTTCAGAGGTGGCATCCAGGATTCAATTGATCAGAACCCCCAATTTTGATTATGTTGTCTAGTTGAAGTTTTATTAAGGGATGGTCTAGTTAATAAACAGTTGTCTTCTAAGTTACTATCCAATCACTCCTGCTTCATAAAAGTACCTTAGAAATTCTTGGGGTCATTTTCCCATGCCTCACAGATCTCTCAAATTCACTTTGTTTGAAAGACTGACTGACTGCAAATTACCCAGTAAAGGAACCTTAAACAGTGATGCATGTTGCAGTATGAAGTCTCCACTCACCTGCACTGGTGCCTGCACCGGATGTGAGGTCTCCACCCATCAGACCACCTGTGGATGAAAGAGGAAGGTCAACAGGAGAAAGACCAAAGGCTCACAGAACAATGCACTTTACCTTTAGCAACCTCAGTGTTTTGTCCTTGCCTAAGAGTCCTAAATTTGTAAAATATCACCTAAGTGGGATAGCTGACATTTGTTTCACTGTGACATGCTGTGCGCAAACATTAAAAATACATTCTGTCACTGACATTTTGCAGAATCTTTTTTTTTTCTAAGAAAGGGTACATTTAAAAAACCTAGTCTTTGAATGGTCTCTAAATTTTTATTATTTTCAAGTGAGTGTTTCAAAAGAGGGTATTGTCTTAAAAGTAAAATAATAAGGTTTACTATGTGCTCAAATAACAATATATTCGATGTTTAATTCTTTGTAAATATATTTTATAACGCTAATGTGCAATGCTAACTGTTCAGAACTTTGGTCATTTCATGAATCTTCCTACGGTGAATGATCTCATTTACTACCCAAATTTTATTTACTGATTTTATTTATAGGTTTTACTGCCTACAAATTTAGAAACATATACTTATGCATGGCTAACTTTAGAAAGTACATCAAAATTTGGCAATGTTTATTTATGAAAGTTGGGATATTACAAAAAGATACTGAATATGATCATTATTTTTATTTTTTTAGGAACAAAATTTAGCCAAAAGAATGGAATATCATCTAGATTATTTTCTAATTGAAATAAGTGATATTTTATAATTATTATTTGGTTCTGGGTTTAGAATTAGAAGAAAATGTTCATTACATTTTAAGAAAATGTTTATTATTGCCAATCAAATAGTATTTTGGAAATAAAGTATGAGATTTAAAAAAAATAAATGAGCATAAATTCATTAAATAGGACATTCAACAGCATTTGTGTATGATCTGAAAGGAATATGTATGGTTCTTGAAAATGCTTATGAAAATTTTCAATCATATTCAAAAGTAGAAAGAATGACATAATGAAGTCCTTTATACACATCTCTCAGATTCATCAAGAATTTTTTGCAATGTGGCTTATTTTGATTGTATTTTCTCCATGAAGTTCCTGTACTAAAAAGTAATACATGTTGAGTTCTACTTATAAGACAGATATGTAAGTATTCTGAAGGAAAAATTCTTCTGTGAATAAACTGTTTTTAATATAGTTAAGTGTGTCTAAGAGATATTAAAATTTTCCTATGAAGTGCTTTTTTAAAAAATAAAACTTGAATATATAATGATTGGCTGCATACGATTTAGAAATACAATGATTTGGGGTGCTTTTTTAGAAAAATGAAGGAATTGTTTAGTTACATTCAACACACATTTACTTAGTTCCTACTGTGAGCCTGGCAAATCAAGAGACATTCTTCCCTTCAAGATTCTTTAAGTTCAGTGGGGAAATGACACATAGTCAGTATAGCACATCATAATTGTGTTTTGCTTGATTTGAGTTCTAAGAATGGTTAAACTTCTCCTGAGGAACAGTATCTTTTCTCTGGGACACTGTACATTGTATAACCATAAGGATGTCCAAAAAGTGTAGACACAAATTTGTGGCAGGTGTACATGTCCTTATGATGTGTTCTTAACTTCATTTCTGACAGTTTTGTTTTTAGTTCACACTTATAAATTATGCTGTCCCATCACATTTCCTTTCTGCCTTAAATCCTCTGCAATGTCACTGTAAAAAACAAATAAAAATGGACCAAAATAATAAGTAACTAAATGAGATAAATGCTATCAGAGAACACAAGGGCAGGTTTCATGGAAGAGGTGTTGTATGGCCAGGAGGAAGAGGGAAAATGGTATTTTAGGCAGGAGAAGAGCAGAAGCAAAGGCATGGAGACAGAGTATGTGACGTTCTGTTTGAGGAAAGATGTGGTTAAGATGTAACCACATGAGGACTGGTGACAGATAGGCTGAACAGATAAACTGCAGATTATGAAAGATTTCAAAAGATATGCTAGCAGTGTTAGGCTTTATCTCTAGAAGACCTAGTCAGGGTGGGCATTAAGCAATGAAGAAACATAACAAAAGGAAAACTGGAACTCAACTTCTCATAGGTAAAACAGCCTCTTTGCCAAGACTGGCTCTTCCCGAGGATCTGTTAGCCCTGCATTCTGATAAGGACGTACCTGTGTTACCTGCACTTGGAGGTCGATGTGTTACACCAGGAGACATACTATTCCTCTGCAGAGAAGGGTGGGCCAGTGGCAAAAGGTTGGGGTTTCCCAGTGAGCTGACAGGGTTGCTGTATACCAAACTGTTGTGGCTGGACACTGGGATGGAGACCGGCATCTCAAAGTTGGGAGGTGGAACAGCCTGTAGGAGCAGGTAAAAAAAAAAAAAAAAGCAAGGGTGAAAAAAAAAAAAAAAGAATAGAAGCAGAGCCCTTCAAGTACAGACAGCCTTTACATTTCCAAGAGAAATTTCAAATTCCAAACTGCTTGGTATCTAGAAGACCATTAAGAAGAGCTCTCAAGATGTTCAGATCATAAATTGATTTCTTTAATGTGCTTAGAACTCTCTCTTTGCAACTATTAGAAAACGTTTCACTTTTGTTTAAAACAAAGCCCCATTTCATTAGACTCCATTGTCTCCGAATTCCATTCTATTAAGTAGTAATTGTTCATTTGTGATATCTGAATCTGGTGCCAGAAATGACTGCAAGATCAAAGGTACATGATTGTGATGACTTCGCAGAGAAAAAGGATTAAAATGCAAACCGGAGCCTTCGGTTTAATTGCTTATTGAAGCATATTTATGCAGAAGTTTAATGATATAAAATCATCTCCAGGCATGTGAATAGCACATATACTTTAATTATTATTTTTTAAAAATCTGTCTTTCGAAAGTAGCTCTAAAGATAATAGACATTTTAAGATACAGGATTCAAAAGAGCATGTATCATTCAATAATTCATATTTTAAAATGATAGTTCAGAATATATGTTACACTTCACAGTTTGGGATATACTGACACTGACAGATGGTAAGACCTCAATCTCAAATGAGAGAGTGGGCAGACAGCTAGTGAACTGTGTCTGTGTGGATGCCTAATCAGAGTAATTCAGGTCTCAGTGATTGATTTTCAGTATTATTTTGGCCATTTAAGCCAAATAATGTTTATTTTTCTCCTTGCACTAGCTAGATAATCATAGTTGTAATTCTCTCTCCCCCTTTTTTTGTTTTTAACATTATAAATGAAAATACTGTTGGAATATATTGCCAGAGGATTCACAGGGTGTCAGAAAATACAGCATTCTTAATATAAAATGGATATATGCATGAGTAAATATTTATGTGTGTGAATCTAATATATATATTAGACACAGGGTTGATACAGAATATTCTCTTGGGGATTCTCTAATAAGCCATCGTGCAAATTTAAATGCATCTGTGCATGTGGCCCAAAGTTTTCTCCTTTACTGTTTTTCTCCTGTCATCCTAACATCAAGTTTCTTGTACTGGTTGATTGGCTGACCTGTGTCATATGTCGTGATTTGCAAGAGTCCCATGTTTATCCTGGGGATAACTAAAATACTATCTCTGTTTATGTCTCTGCTCCCTTATTCTTTATTCTTCCTATTTTTTCTTTTCTTCCATGACCTGGGCGTGGTGATACTAACAAGAGCAAATGTGTCAGAACTCTATTCATTGCCATGTCTTTGATTCTTCATTGTTTTAGAGGGGAAAAAAAAAACGTTCAAGTGCTGTATGAACAGAGTCATACTTTATTAGGCTTTATCTTTTGTAAATAGGGTAACAAAAATAATTTTGGACAAACACCATGATATAATGAAAAACAAATGTTTGATAAGAAATCAAAGAATGACTATATCCCCAGATTCTCAGAGCCTTTTAAACAACAAAAGATAGTATGCTGTATAATAAATGTCTACAGGATCAATAAAATACTGTATTCCTTTATTAAAAGGCCAAATAAGAATTATTCCAGCATACCTAAGAAAACAAAGTAAAGCAACCTCATTTGCCCCTCCAAAACCTCTCTCCACCCTCTTCGCTGCTTGGGCCGGGAGGCTGACCCTCCAGACTGCATCCACCAGGCTCCCCTGCCCGCTGGCTTTACTGAGGCCAGTGGAGGCACTTGTGGAAGGACAGAGTACGAAAGAGAGGTCAGAGTATTTTCCTACTGTAGCATCCTTCTTGCTGGATCACAGGATGACAGAGGCTGCATTCCCTTAGTGAGGGTCACACCCCTTTGGGGGTCGGTCCTCTTTCCTGCAGACATAGATCTTGCTGTGCTCCAGTAACTTCTCCCTCCTCTTCTTGCTCCTTCAGACCTAGATGTGGTAACAGCTTCCAGGCTGTACACCCAAATGTGCTTCACTACTCCTTCAGGTTTCCCTGAACTCTGTTCATCTGTAAAAAGTCCCTTTACTGAACTCTGATTGCCCTTTTGAGTTTCCCATCTGTTTCCCACTGGAGCCCTGACAGTGACGCTCTTAATCTAGAATAGTGGTACCCTACATGGGTGGACTATCTCTCCTATCGGGAGCATTTTGGAAATCTGGGGGTGTCACAATGATTAGGGAGTATGGCTGGCATTTTCCAGGTGGATGGGTAGGTGTGCTGTATTATCTGTGGGATGCTTCTACATTCAACAAAGAATTGTCTCTTACATCATCTGACCTTCAAATGCTTCACTGGACATACATGTGTGTGAAAAAAAACCTGTTTAATAATGATCTGAGTCATAACTAACTTTGTTCCGCAAACACAAGGTATTTTTTATACTCTAAAACATAGATTTTACTATTCACTGAAACTCCCAGAATGCAGGTTGAGGGAATGTTCTACTTTGTTTGTCTAAGGAACTTTATTAAAAATTATTCACCACTTTGGAAAATCACATCACCAATGACACTTCTGCACTTGTGACTTGGGATGTAAATACAACACACTGCTTTCTCTCAACTCACTCCATTAAAAAGTTATTCCTCATCACTTCACTGAAAATGCTCATGTCTTAGTTGTTGATAACCTTCAGGTTGCTAAATCCAATGGTAACTTCTCAGTCCTGAACTGGGACACAGCTGATCTCTCCTTGATAAACTTCCTTCCCTTCCGTGGCCATGAACTTCACTCTTATTTCGATGGCTGCTCCTCCTCAGCCTTTGCTGCTGGTTCTTCCTCTTCACTCTGCTCTCTGAAGGTGAGAGAACCACAGACCCTTTCTGCCTCCAGCTCAGATCTCTGTCCTGATTCCACTTTTGCACATCCAGCTAAACCCCTCAGTACTTCTACTTAAACGTCTGACATCTCAAAACAACTCCAGTCTAGTCCACTCACACCTCTCCCATCTCCAGCTGATGACAGCTCAATGCTTTTGTCTACAAGAATAAAGTCCTTGGAGTCACCCCTGTATCTTCTCTTTCTCCCACACCCCACATCCAGTCTACTGGGAAATCCTTTTGGCTCAACTTCCAAACATAGTCTACAAACACCTCTTACTCTTTAACGGCTACCACCCTGATTTGAACCGACATCTCTTGCCTTGACCCCTGCAGTCACCTCTACTAGTCATGTGATTCTATCCCAGATCCCCTTTTTATTTTCAATGCAGCAATCAGATCCTCTAAAAGCAAAGGTCAGATGATGGTAATTCTCTATTCCAAACCCTGTGAGAGCTCCCATTTCACTTGAGTTAAAGTCCACCTTTTTCCAATGTTCCACAAGGCCCTATAAATTCCAGTTTCCGCCAGGCTCCATGATCTGATTTCCTATCATCCTCCTCCTCCCGCCCTCATTCTTGTCTCATTTCTATGGTTAACTCCATCACTGTCATCAAGTTTCTGCTCAAAATCTGGCCTTCTCAAGGAGGCCCACCTTGACCGCTCTATTTAATACTGCTCCTGCTCCCCACCCATCCCCTGACCTCTTCCCCTTGCTCTTCTTCTCCTACTTTTGTAAAATCAGTTATGATGCTGGCCAAATAATGTCCCCTTTCATCAAAGTGCTGAAGCTCTTCTGCTATGAGGTAAATATGCAGCCTAGTCTACTTTTTAATTATAGTGATTCAATATTTTTCTTCAAAGAAGAATTTTTAGGAAGATATTATACTAACACAAAAATACAAGCTTACAACTTACTACTTACTGAGCAGGCAGTGTTCTATATAATTTACACACATATCATCGAACCCTTCCAACGTCCCTTCACTAGAGATGTAATTCTTCCTTTTTAAATCGGTAAGATTAATTAAGCGGCCCAAGGTCATCTAACCAGTGACCGAGCCTGTTGGTTTTACTACTAAATCACCGAACAACACAGTGTAGCTTTTTGGATGGAAATAAAACATTTAAGTCAGAAATCATACTGTGAAGTGAGTATGGGCTGCATGTTGGTAGCTTATTATTTGTGAACCACGAACATAATGAATTAAGTGGGTTCTCATGGAACGTGGCTGAGCACTGATGTTAAAATGCATGTTTATGCCTACTAACTGGGACTGAGGGCTTGGGAAAAAAATAAGCCTGGAAGACCCCTCTCATTCCTATTTACTCACATTTGGTATTTTAAAGCTATCTTTTGGTAATGTTTTATTTGTATTCACTATTACTACTTATAAATGTTTGACTATTACAGAGAACCTGAAGATCTGTTATAAAACTACTTTTCCCCTGAATATTCTAAAGAATATTGATTGTCTCAGTGGAGAGCAAAGTCCACACCACCCCTCATCCCCTATGATTATATGCGCATCAGAAAGAAAGAGGACTACTAATAATTATTTAATAAATTCTGAACCAATCTACTAATTAATTCAGCAAAAGTGTCTCTACTTCTCCCTTCTTCAGACCATCATCCCCAAGAGTTATTCAGTTTCCAGCATTCTGGACTGTAAACAATTTGATGGTGATTACCATAAAACTCTCTTGTGATTGGCTAAATGGCAATCAGATAGAATTCTGAATCACAGCATACTTCAAAAATTCATAATTCATAAACCATGGTAATATCCTTTGCAGTCTACCTTTTGTTTCCTTAGCTGTATCAGGAACTGACTAAATAATTTTGAAATCAAAGTATAAGCTTAAAAATGACCACACATAGTGAGAAGGTATCTCAGAGAATCAGAAAGAACATTAGCCTTTATATCAGAAATCTCAGTTGCAGTCCAGGATAGGCAATAAATTGCAAGTTAAACAGGCAAGTCATATAATCTCCCTTGACCTCACGTGGGCCCTGAAGTGGCTGCATCCCTTAAGAGACCAATCAGCTCTGGACGCTTTAGGGAATGCCAATGTTTATAAGAAAATGGCAATTTTCTTTTTCTTTTTCTTCTTGACTTTTTAAAATTAAGGAACTTGAAAGCATCTAAGTTTTTAACATTTTTGTCTAAAAAGGAAAGCCAAAAAAGTCATTAAAAACTCCAAACTTGCAAATATCTCCAGGGCCAGGCTCCAAAATTTAGAACCCTCAAGACAGGAAGGAAGAAGGAATTTAGGGTGATTAAATAAAATGCTGTAGGTAGGACTGACTATATAATTTGCAGAGCTCAGGGCAAAATGAAAATGTGGGGTGCCTTGTAAAAAAAATTATTAAGAATTTCAAAATGGTGACAGCAGAGCATTTAACCTAGTGTGGTCCAGGACAGCAGAGCCCTGTGTGACAGCACAGGTCACATGCCCACGACACTGGCTCTGGCTTTAAGAGATACAGACATGAGAGCTAAAAAGCTTTTAGTTTCTATTCCTGAACAAATTGATCATGGTTACCGAAGTGAGTCATCGTGGTCAGAAAGGTATCTGAACTCTTATCCAAAACCCACGATTTTCCCAAACTTACCACAAGGAAAAGTCCAATAAAAAGTCAAATAAAAATATTTTTAATAAAATATTTTTAGTTAATAGGGCTTCTTTTATTTAATGTGAATGACTGAACTGAATCCCTTTTTTTGGGCCACTAGTGACAGCCTTAATTTTTGATGAACCCGGCTGCTGAAAACTAGCAGAGAAAAAGGAATCACACGTCCCTGATGACTCGTGACCACCGGTTGCTGATATCCAAATCCCCTCCCGTGCTTGCCCACTGCCCCTCCATCCCCGGTTCCTCACAATGTCTACACTAGAGCCATTCTCAGTCCGCTCGGGAGCACCTGCTCCCCCACCTCAACATCTACAGAAGCTGAATTTGTTATAAAGAGAGCGGTCATGAGGTGGCCACCCACTCAACTTCACTCTACCCACCTGCCGTCTTCACTACATCTGCAAGTCCTTCTGGTCCTGGTCCCATCCAGCCTCCTTCCCTTCCCTGAGGAGCCTCACCATTCCATATCCATGGCACTTAAGTGTTCCACCTTTTCCTTCCTTCAAGCATTCCTCCTGTGCACATAAATCATCTCAAGTGCTTTCCCTTTTAACTCCCTCCTTGAACCTGGTTACAGTATTCTCTCCCCAGTCACAGTCCATTATTTGAAGAAAACACCCACGTACTCTCTATTTCCACTTCCTCCCTTCCCACTCACTCTCAGCCGGTCCTGTATTCACCCCTCCTTCCTGCAGCCCATTTCCTAATTTCTGGTTCCTCAAATGGATCTGTTTTTTCTTGCTGTGAAGCCCAGCATGAACCGTGGCAAACCTCACATGAGGAAATGCTGGTTGACGAGATTCCAAATCATCCATGAATTATTTCACGTAATTGAGGAATATGGGCATAAATTCGATTGTACCAACAGGTGACTGCAATATTAAATTTTCTATTTTAAAGGGGGGAAACTCTTCAACCTGGGTCTTAGAAATAGAAAAACAGTCTTGTAATGTTTTTCAAGAGGTGGAGACACTCTCTCCACACAAAGGGCAGAGTGTCCTTGCCCCGCTGTAAATGTTTTAGCAGCTGTGGAAACTTTCAACAAAATTTACTTCCAGCAACTGAAAGCGATGTGCGAAAACTGGGCTTTTCATCGTGGAGACTGAAGCACTTACTGAAGAAACGAAGACTTGGAGGCACCGCTTGGAGCTGTGTGGCTCCTTCTCACGGCTCTGCCTGCAAACTCTAATGTGGTTTTCCATCCCCTGCCGCACACCACTGCACCTCTTAAGAAATCATGTATCCTGATTTTGAGCTCTTTACACGACAGGATGAAATATGGTGAGAGAATCCAGGTATGCATCACACCTCTTTCCCCCTAAAGCATGGGGAAAATGACCCAATGTGCAAATATGGCATTCTCCCAGAACTCTGGGGATTAAAGCTCCACACACACACAGTGTATGGTGGGGGGGGTGAGCAGCAGTCTTACACACACCGCCCTTTCCCTAACTGTGCTGCGGATTCCTCATGAGACACCTAACGTACATCACCTTAAAATCTTACGTTCACAAACGTGCCAGCAGCTCTAAACTAGTGTACTACATAGCAAGAGAAACTCAGGCCATAAGAACTAAAAAATCAGCCCAAAGGAGCTGTTTCTTTCCTTCTTCTAGGGGAGATAAAATCCCAATGGATTCCATTTAAGAATTCTGGTATAACAAGAATGCATCACTGCATCTGGGAGGAAATGTTTCATGTGATCCAGTGCCCACTGTGGAAGTGCTGTATGTAGTACTCGGTTTATAAAACCTTTAAGCATTTACAGCAGTTAGCGTTCCTTCATGACACAGTGAATCAATAATTCTGATTCAACAAAAGTATTCCTACTGACATTATTTCATTTAACAAAAGAAGCAGATTTGTATTAATGAGGATAGGAAGTTTAATATGCACATATTTTATAAGAAAGTTTTAAAGTGTTCAGTTTAGCTCAGCACAGGCTGACTGTGCACCCACTTTGCGTAAAGCATTAATTCATCTTGCGGGTGCCCTTGTGGCTCTGGCCTGGAGTTTTTGTCCTCAGATATCTGCACTTGTAATTGCTAAGGCCTGTTTTCAGGGCAGAGTCTTCTCTGAATCTCCAGGTTTAGGCTGTTTTGCTAACTTATTAAAAATAGACTTTTTTGAGAAAGGAATTAATTACCTACCGAGGAGCCTATATACAGCGAGGGCTCAGACACTAACATTTGTTACTCAGAAAGAGTGTGAACCTTGTGTTGCATCACTTTATGTCACAAAATGAACATCACTCGACTGATGACAGAATAGAATAAAAACTCCGTACCCATCCCCCTTTACATGTGGGCAAACAAAATAATACATGCACAGTTATTTCTCTTAAATATCTGGCAAGGCATATGATTGATTGTTAGGAATTTTTTGACTTGGTTAAGACAAAATTTAGCCAAATGTTAAAGCATGGAAAATGTTGGTGTAGGCAAAGCGAATATTCTGATGAAGCTTTAAAATCACCCCAGCACACAAACATGTTGAAATCTTACCATTAGGTTGTCATGCAGTCTGTTTCCCTGCGGCGAGCATTAGCTTTAACCCTTCAGTGCTGCTGCTGAATCTCATGTTTAGGGAGAGGGCTGAGGCTTCACTCAGGAATACGCTTTTTCCTGGGTGATGAGCGTCAGCTTACATGAGAGAACTGCGGTTCCACTCGTGTATCTGATCTCAGTGAAAATAGATCCATATATTTTACAGTCAATCCTTGTTCAGAAGGAGATTCCTGTGTTTGAGGAGTGCTTGGTGATTCGTGTGAACTGCGTGCTTAAGAGATTGTGTAAATTCAGGGTGTGTCTTGTAGATCTTTCTCTTCCTCCTGTGAATCTGCTACGTCCGAATGAACTTCGGATGGTGACTCCCTCAGGTGAACTGCAGCAGCCCTCAGTTTTGCTTTCTGAAGGGACTGCCCGCGGGTGAGATGGCTCTTTTCTGGGTTTGGCTTTGCACTGTTTCTTAGGGAAAGCCCTCACTGAAAGGGTTAAGGTATGTTACTGCAGCAGTTATCAGCAGACCAGCCATCTACCTTTGGTACTTACAGGAATTTTATGGCTCTTGATCATATTATCAAATTCTTCATTAATTTTTTTGTATTTTTCTTCAGTGCGTGGGGTGAGTGCATAAGAGGAGTCGGGATCGGGGCTTTCACAGCCTTTGTTTTCTTTCTTGTTCAAGGCCTGCCAGGTTCAGAGAAATATCAAGAGTAAAAAAAATGAAGGGTGTTTGGAGTACTTACACACAATCTTTGCCTGCTGATCATTAGATCAATATCTTCGTTAATTTTCCTGTACTTGTCCTCAGACTCAGGGCTGTGACCTACTGAATCGTCCGCATCGGGATCTGGGCTGTCACAGCCATTAAGGCCCTTCTTTCTCAACGTCTGAAATACATAATTTGGAAAGTTCAAACCTAGACAAAGGCTGTAAAAGACATTCAGGGGTGTTACAGAGGTTCAAGCTGTCCAGTGTTTCAGGTTATTACATGGGCTATAATACATTAGGCTTAAGAAGCTGTAGAGAGAAACCGAGAGTCATTTCAACAGTGCACTCATTACTAGTTAGAAAAAAGTAAAAGGGAAAATATTCCTTTTGCAACTTAATTCAGTCAACAAACAAAGATCGCATGAGGGTTGAAGTTTCATGATGTGGAATTCATATGTGCTCCAAATGTCTAGTGAGAGATAATCACAGACGCCTACAAACGAGGTGGCAAACTGCAACACTATTTTCCCACAGAAAAATTAGAAGTTGGGACATTACACAATGCTTTCAGAAAACGTGATCATGACAAAAGCAGAAATGATGGAAACATACTGTTAGTCTGAGTTTAGGATAATGGTCAGCACTAACAGTGTCCCGCCAGCCCTTTGGGTATGCACTCGACAGCAGGAGGCTGTAAGAGAACCCCACTCACACTCTCAGGAAGCCCCCATAAAGAAGGTTCAGACACTGATCACAAGGAGAAACACCTTTGTTCAGTCTGGTTTGGTTAGAGTCCTATACATGCGGAAATGTGCACTGAAACTGATAATACCGAGAAGCTATCCGCCTAAACATAGGGAGAAAGAAAAGTCAACAGCTGAGCTTTGGGCTTCATTATCATGAGCTGAGTAAGGAAGCCAAAGAACACTGAAAAGAGGTCACCAGGTCAGTACCAAACTAGCAAAAGTTCCTCCTGGTTCCAGCCGAGGAGGCTCACCAGAGACTGTCTCCGGCCACATGAAACTGACAAGTCAGTGCCTCATCTGCAACCTCCTGTCTCCTGAATGTGTGGCTGGTCTAGTCTCAGCTGTCACAGAAGGATAAATACTCATGTAACACTAACAGAAAAAGTATGAGTCCAGAGTCTTACTATTTTTTTTTCACCCGATGACTGTCAATTCAATTGTACAGGATCCAATTTTCAGAGATAGTGTTATGTTTTTAGAGATTATAGAACTTCTGATAAATCAACCACACAGCTTGCTATATTAATTATTAATCGACTAGCAACATCTCTGAATTTTCCTGGTACCACCAAATCGTTTATAAAGAGATGTGTACCTAAGTGTCTCTCATTAACGGAAAGTTCAGCAGAGCTCATCTTTATTAAAGACTGAATTCACATACAAATAAAGCAAAAGCTGCGACATCGGGCTAAAGAATTCAAAGCTGAGATAACACTCTATCTTTAATTCATGCAATTGGGGAAAATAAATAAAACAACATGAGTTAAAAAGGGGGCGTCAGTCTTAAAAATTTAAACTCCTTGGCTCTTATCAATGTATAACAAATATAACATTATCTAACATCAGTTTCGGAGGCACTTAAGATTTCCAATGAAAATCAAACTGAGAGCTACCATTTTGAATGCATCTACGATACACTGTGGCTCTGTAAATATTTATTAATGTTATAGTAATATAATATAACAATAAACATATGGTTACAGCTTATTATGTGGTAAAATGTTTGAATATTAAAACGAATATTTTGACATGAGATGATAAAAAATATACATTTACAATCTTGGGGAATTTATAATTGGTGGGGCCACCTGTCCCTTTATCATGGATTTGCAGCTATCATTTTCACCCAGAGTAAGTATTCCTAGAGGGTTCCGATAATAATGATGTCACAAAACATCAGACTATTAATTTTATTTGCTACCTAAATTTCCTATGTTTTAAAATTTTTTGTTACCATTATCTCAAGTACAAGAACATTCTTCTGGGTGATGATTATTTGTATTATGATGTGTTTCTGCTTTCATCTTCACATATCCTTGAGCTTTTAAGAATAATTTCTGAGTGTCTTGCATCATACTCCACATATTTTTCATAAAAATTCACTTATGTAGAGAAAAATATGTAGGATCAAGGAAATGTTATATTTTTTCAAAATTTATCTACTGATATTTCTCTAAGGCGTGCTAAGAATATTCTTACATAAACCCCTAATTAAGTCTTATCTTATATAACATTAATTTACAGTCTTATCTGGATAGTAGATTTTTCAACATGTACCCGAATCTTTTATCCAATAAATCTTGTAAAAATTAGAGTTGTTTTGATGTGCAGATTTTTGACAACAGAACTCAAGGGTTAGGAGAGGCCTATCAACTGTCATTACAATCCATCTGGCACATACATGTGTGCTAAATATTCTTACTAAGCTTTCAGGGGTAGATACTGTGTTTGGTGTATAAAAATTCAAACATCAATTACACTTTAGCAAAAGAGCTCTGCAAATGTTAACTCATTATCTCTCACAAATCTTCCATGAAGACTTTAGGGAAACCTTATGGCCCAGCGTGATGGCCCAAGCCTCGTGCCTCCTGCAGGGGCCGTGTGCGGTCCCCTCACCCTGCAGTGGGGGGTGTCAAATAGATCTCTCCCACTCATATTTAACTATAGCAGTGGACTGAACACTGAAATAAATTAGGCAGAAAATTTTAAAATTAGTCTGTGGGAAAATTTAAAGTCTAAAATGATGGCTAAAATATTGATACTTCTTAAATGTCAAATTTTAGACCAGGAGGGAGAGTCTGCTGTTCAATAAAACACTTCTCAGTTTATGTATTAAAAAATCGATTAGATCAATAGCTCACTTTTTACCTGAAGAATCATATAAACTATTAAGCACATGAAGCAAGTGGCACGAAGTCACAAAGGAAATGACAGGGACGGGGACAAAACGGAACCAGTGGCTCATTCTCTCCAGTAAATTCTTCCCTTTCTGACTATGTCATCCTACTGCGAATATCACCAGTATTTAAGTAATGAATTATCTCTACCATTTTAAGGCATTTATAACTTTATTTCAAGTTAAATTGTGTTATTTTAAAAGAGGAGCATTTTGAGATATACAAACACAAAACCCCAGAGCAAATTAATACTGAGTTCCAAATCCTCATAATCACTTAACCAGAACATTGAAAAAATCGTTCAAAAATATTATTCTCAGCTCAGAGCTTGTAGAACACATTTCTGCCAAGAATGAATGATTATGGTGGAATTATAAAGCTCTGAAAATGGAAGTGATGGCACAAACTTTACCAGAGTTTGAATGTGGAACTACAAGAGTAGTGTTATCTTTATTGTATTAAAAATCCACAGCTGTTTAGTGATGACAAAAGAATTACTATTAGATTCAGCCAAGTCTGTCTTTATCACAGTAGTAAATAGATGACACTAACTCAAAGGATTACTAAATGGATAAACAAGCATTGTTCCTTAAGGTCTTTTTCTAGTAAAATCAAAATCTGTCACTGACCTTTGAAAGCTTCTCTGATCTTTTACAGATGTTATTGGTCAGGCAATGCAGGCACTTAAATCATTATTCTTTTATAGGGGCTAGATGTCCTGGATGTATATATGGTAAGTGTCTCTCAGCTGACTATTGAAAAGATTTATTCTGTATGTCAAGATAAGGCACAAGATCTATTGAAACCACCAGCTTCTCTTGCTATGTTATCTCAAGAAACTCCTTCCTCAGAGAACTCTGTGACTCTGGAGTCAGCCTTCCATGTGAGAGTGACACTTGGGTAGATCAGTTGACTGCAGAGGCTTCTGGGATGTTTTCACAAGGCAGTGATCGTCACGCAGTGAGCTGAGAACAGCCATTTCTCCGAGAAGTAGATTGACAGAAGGTGACATACTCCGAACAATAAATGGAAAAAGGAGTGCAGGCAGGTAATCCGAAAACCACGTGGACTCTTTGCTCAGACATGTGGACATATGGACCCCGCATTATTACATTTGTTCACCGGGAAAACTTGAAGTGCATATAAACTGATGATGATAGGTGACAGGTGCTTCAAAGATTCTAATGAAATAGATGTAGGGAACAGATTCTACTTCATTACTGAAAGGAATGTAAATGAAAAAAGCACGCTGCCTGGAGCTCTCATTTCTTGTCAGGCATCATGTCATCAACTAGAAAAGCCCTCTGTATACGGTGGTTAAAGCTGGTTTCCCCTTCTGTACTATTTCTTGCTAGTAAAAAAGAAATAACTAAGTTATTGGCCTTTTTCAATTATATGGAACTTCATATTTTATGTTAACACTATTTAAGTAAAATCCAGCTTCTTTCAGAGACCCACCATCACAGATGAAAAGCCTCTAATCATTCAATTTCTTTCCATGTCTGTGGTCCTAGTCCTCAAGAGTGTATTATTTTCATCATCTTTCTTTTTCTGTGCCTCCTCATTTTACAGAGGCAAATTCAAATCCCCTAGTGAAAAATCCCAAAATATTAATTAATTTTTATTAAAATTCAAATAATCACCCTTTCTTGCATAGTTAGCAGGACCCTCACTTCAGAGGGTTGATGTGTCAAGAACACACGCAGGAATTACTCTTGGTTGCGTGAATGTCCTACTCACACAAAAGCCAAGGGAAAAAAAAAGACATCAACTTAGAAAAGGTAGTTTCCGTTTCTCTGATACTAAATCATTTTTGTGCTTGTCTATTCCAGCTTTATGAAGATAACCTTCTGCTCTTAACAAGCTGTGTTATCTTTAGAAAGTGGTGAATCCACACTGGCACAGGAGGTACAGTTGAAATGGAGACTGACTATACATGAAATTTTTGAGCAGATTTCATAAACAGCCTCCCACCATGGTGCTTGCTGGTACCCACGACGGCTGTTTCCAGTCGCCTCAGTATCTGCAGAGCTGGGCTCAATGTCTTACTTGATTTAAAACACATTCAGGGCATGTGTCTGGAAGAAATTCTAATTCAAAAAGATACATGAATCCCAATGTTTATAGCAGCACTGTTTACAATAGCCAAGGCATGGAAACAACCTAAATGTCCATTTACAGATGACTGGATAAAGAAGTTGTGATATATTTATACATGGAATACTACTCAGCCATAAAAAATAACAAAATAATGCC